AATGATTCTCCTCTTACAATTTCCATCAATGGCTACAAAACGTATCGACAGAGACACCGTGGGCGATCCCTCCTCCGCCGTTAAACGCCGTAAAGACCTCGACGAAGAAGAAGACGGTGGAGCAATCAAGCTCCTTAGCCTACTCCTACAATGCGCCGAACACGTCGCTACCGATCATCTCCGTGAAGCTTCGACACTCTTGTCGGAAATCTCCGAGTCATGTTCTCCGTTCGGTTCCTCGGCGGAGCGAGTCGTCGCCTACTTCACTCAAGCCTTACAGACCCGCGTGATCAGCTCCTACCTCTCCGCCGCGTGTTCCGAGACTCCACTCCTCACCGTTTTCCAGTCTCAGAAGATCTTCGCCGCCTTGCAGACCTTCAACTCCGTAACCCCTCTGATCAAATTCTCTCATTTCACGGCGAATCAAGCGATCTTCCAAGCACTCGACGGCGAGGATTCCGTCCACATAATCGATCTCGACGTGATGCAAGGTCTTCAATGGCCTGGGCTCTTCAACATCCTCGCTTCTCGTCCTCGAAAACTCCGATCGATTCGAATCACCGGATTCGGTTCCTCCTCCGATCTACTCGCTTCGACCGGACGGAGACTCGCCGATTTCGCGGCTTCCTTATCCCTCCCTTTCGAATTTCACCCAATCGAAGGTAAAATCGGAAACCTAATCGATCCGAGTCAACTCGGTACGAGACGCGGAGAGGCGGTGGTGGTTCACTGGATGCATCACCAGTTATACGACGTGACCGGAAACGATGTCGAGACTTTAGAGATTATACGGAGGATTAAACCGAATCTGATAACGATGGTGGAACAGGAATTGAGCAACGACGATGGAGGAGGAGGAGGAAGTGGGTTTTTAGGGAGATTCGTGGAGGCGTTGCATTATTACAGTGCGTTGTTCGATGCGATCGGAGATGGATTAGGGGAAGAGAGCGGAGAGAGATTCACGGTGGAGCAGATTGTGCTTGCGACGGAGATAAGGAACATTGTGGTCGGAGGAAAGAGGAAGAAGAAAATGGTGACGTGGAGAGAGGAGCTGAGTCGGGTCGGGTTTAGATCCGTTTCGTTAAGGGGCAACCCGGAGACGCAAGCGGGTTTGTTGTTGGGTATGTTACCGTGGAATGGGTACACGTTGGTCCAAGATAATGGAACCCTCCGTCTCGGTTGGAAGGATCTTTCGCTTTTGACTGCTTCTGCCTGGCAATCTCACCCGTCAGATTGAAGTTTTTATTATTTCCATGGCTACACCG